AGACTATAACTTTTTCACCAAAATCTACATTTCGGAAGTGGAACTTTATGCAGGGTGTCCCTTAAGTAACCGGGTAAATTTAAAGATAGTATCCCTCAAGAGCTACAAAAAAGTTCATATAAAGCATGGTCCAATAGAATTTATTTTTTGTGTCATGCTTTTTTTTAATAGGAAGTGATAACTAATAAAATAGCTAATTTAATTAATTAACAATTGATTCATGATAAACTATAGAAAATTTACTTTTAATGAAAGCAGAGTTCGTCATTGGCAAAAGTACTAAAATAGGACATTTGAACGGCTATGCTAAGCTAATTTCTATTTTTTAATTTTTTTTTTATCACTTTCCAACAGTACTACGGATACCCTACTTTTAGGGAAAAAATCCTTGTTTAATAAGCTTTAATTTCATATTAATTAATTTGAGATTTCTCGGAAAGTAATCTGAGATTTAGCTCAAGTTGAATTGAGCGCATTTATGAATTGAGTGCATTTGTTAATAAATATTGGTAATAGAAACAATTAAATGAGTGAAAATTGTAGACATTTGTTGAAGTATAAACGGCACTGTGTATGTAAAATAATATTACAAATTATATTCGGACCTTCTATTGCCCGCGTGGTCACTTCCAATAACCTTTTGGTTTCTTTCAATTCTTATGTTTCAGCATTTGGTCTCTAAATGGCATCTCGAATTTCTTTACTATAACGCGTCTCCCATTTTTCTTACTTTGCACTGCATTGGCTCGTTAGAAAGCCTAGTGTTATGGAATTATTACAACTCAGTTGTTTTCTGTAAAATCTCCTAACTAATTTACTTTTATGATGTGCTCGATAAACGGGTTATCTGTTCTTCCCTTTTCGGTCCAACCTTGACCTTTCTGTGGAATCTCATTTCCATAGATTGTGGTCGGCTTCTGTTTGAAGAGGTTAACATTCATATTAAATTTTGTTCAAAGTGATTTCCTTGAGTATCAAGACAGGCTCGAAATCTTTCTTCAACAGTAGCAGTGACAGAACGGCACTGGATATGTGTTATTGTTTGACAAGATTTAATTATCCTTCTTCGTAAGAAATTAAGGTCATTGACTTAAGGTCTTGCTCAATCATATCCCATATCCTATATCTCAATCAATGAATTGGCCGTGCAGGTATATATATGTATATATATATATATATATATACACACAGGGTGTTTCAGGGTTAAGTGGCCAAACTGCAAAAGTGAACTGAGGACCTCAAAACAAGAAAAAAAACTTCCTCTGAAGGAATGTCCGCAAACGCTTTGTTTAGGAGATATTCACACTTTAAGATTTTCGTTGGTTGATAGATTTACGTTGTATGAAATCAATAAAATCTATTTATTTGTTTTAACTACTTTATTAATTAAATGTAAACGTTAAAATTCATATTAACTGTTGTTCAAAGTGATTCAAAGATATATATATATATATATATATATATATATATATATATATATATATATCTGTGTGTGTGTGTGTGTAGTAAAAATATAATTTTAAAAAAATATATGCACTATAAAACTATACACATGTTTGCAACTATAAGTTAATTAATGCTAATCATATAATTTTATTTTGTTTATGAAATGAAAAATAGCATCCAAGAAAAACTGTTAGGATAAGACACCATAGTTTAGTCTTCTTGATATACGTTTCTCCGCTAGTTTTGTTGACAGTTCTTCTCACATGTGTGCCAAGTACATCCCATCGAATTATTTTAGTTTATCCCAGAGAGTCATATGGAATTAAGATTACAGCTAGTGGCTTTCCATTTAAATTATTAATTTACTTACTTAAATCGCTTTCATACTACTTCTTAGATAAATTAAATGCTACGTATGGCTTCTGTTGTTTTGGAATAGTGCAGACGTAATTCCAATATAAAAATCATAGAATTATTCCATCACAAAGCATCACAGAACCACCTTCATCTTCTTATCTTACCGAAACATTTATATGAGTATAATTAGTCTAGTTTTAGTAGTTTAAAAATTCTCAATATTGACGATAAAGTGATCCATAGTCGAATTCTCAGTCCAGGCTTAAATTTCCAATATGACCGGTACAAATTTGATAAACGTCTAATATGAGAATAATAAGTTGTTCTCCTCGAAGTAATAATAAAATAATAAGCCACTGAAGAAAAAAATATTCGAAATAGGTACTTACAATGATTTCAATTATATAATGCTGTCATACTATTTTTTCACCTTAGTAAACTTTATTATTTTTTTTTTTATTTAGTCATAAAACATAAAAACATTGCTCAATCTGCCTACCATTATAGCAGGGAAGGCAAACATATTGTTGTACATTAGAAGAAATAGTGGAGCACTACTTTCACTATGTCCTTCGTGACTTCTGGCTCCTGACTCATAGCTTAGCCAGTCCTTCGATAGCGGTCATTTATTATTACCTTCGGGTTGCCAATGGTGCAATTTTGGAAATATGGATCGAAATCAACAAACTCGAACGTAGATAAATTAAAAACCAAAGCAACTGGTGATATTTTTTTCGAACAATCCTTTATACTTGTTATTTGTATTATTAATTGATGAAATATAGCTTTTTAAAAAAAACTCCGATAAAATGGGAAGAATAATTTTAGACAAAATATTAAAAAAGTTATATTAACCTTTCAGATAATTTTGAATACGAATATATAAATAACAGAAAATAAAGATTAAGGTAAAAATAACGCCGACCCACTTAGTTCGATAGATCTAGTAGATAAGTTGATATTTGATGCTATATTTTATCTCGTGAAGTACTTAAGTTTGCTGAATTTTTACTTTCTTGTTTTCTTTTTTTTTAATTAGGATACTTACTTATCGTTAAAATTACACCCAAATATTTTAATATTCTATCATAAAATATTTAGTAATTGTTATTTTATACTGTATTGAGTACTTATCCAGTAATCTATTCCTTAATTTTATTTTACTTCTGAATCTTAAAATAAATTAATAAAACATCAACATTTTATTAATGATTGAAACTAATCACCAAATAGTAACATGTAATTTCAATCGTATTTAAATTAAGAAAAAAATCAACAGCTAATAATGTTGCATAATGTTATAAGTGACAAAATTCCGTAAGATAGACTATTAATTAACTTGATCTAATAATAAACAAAAATTAGTGCAAAAAATCTGAAAAAAAAATTAAAAAAAAAAAGAAGATTAGAAATTGTCTTATATTTTAAAATTCCCAACAAAGCAGCTCATTAATAGCTGATCTAAGTTTCGCAAGTTCAGGACTATTATACCTAAAATGAAAATGTTAAATTCTGTTAGCACATCTCATGTCAAGAGTTCAACGATTTGAGTGTTTTATTCAACGTTCCCACGTCCTCTGACCGAGTCCCTTTCTTTTTAGATGATTTCTTCCAAAATAATTCCCATCTGTAGACATATCTTGCAATCCGGTGATTGCCTTCTGGAAACTGCCCGATGAATGACATATTGACGCTCTAATTTGAATTTTTATCATGATGATTTAAAGGTATTTTGTTTGTTGAAACGGTTTACTCTACACAATCATTATTTCATATATTGGGAGATAAATGTTCAGTGTTATAAAGTTTTTATTAGTGCCTACGTTTCAACCCAAACATGTGGTTCATCATCAGTGCGTGTTTCGAGCACTGAAGGATACTCTATTCAGATACTCTAATAAGTTGACACATGTTTGGGTTGAAACATCGTCACTAATAAAAACTTTATAATGACTGCGTCCTGAATGTTTATCACCCATGATTTGTAGAACAGTCGACTAACTTCTTCCAATAATTTATTTCGTTACCTTCTTATTTTTCTTTTTTTTTAGGAAGCCTACGTTTATATATTTTTTCATAGTTGAGGCAAAAAACTTCCAATTTCCTTCACATACCTTTATTCACATTTATTATCTCTAACGTTTCGGGACAATTTTCCCATCATCAGAGCAATCCTTATATTCACTGAACTTGCTTTTTTGATGTTGTACCATTTGTCAAAAATTTAAATATTTGTCACATTCATCATATATTTATTTGGTGTTACACATCCTTTCTTATTCATTGATACACTAACCTACATCTGGCTATACATTTTAATGATATTGAAGATAGACAGATGTAGGTTAGGGTAACAATGAATAAGAAAGGATGTATAACACCAAATAAATATATAATGAATGTGACAAATATTTAAATTTTTGACAAATGGTGTCATTATGATAATAAATGTGAATAAAGAGATGTAAAGGAAATTGGAAGTTTTTTTGTCTTAACTATGAAAAAATAATTTATTTCATTTATTTTTTTATACTTTATTTATTTAGATATATAATATTCTGTCTCGTGGACAATAATTATAGTGATAAATGATCACATTCACACATTATTTTTTAAAGCAACCATAATTATTATGAAGTACGTTTGGAACTGTAAGAGTTACTTATCAATTAAGAGATATAGTATGTTTACCAGAATCAAGACATGGTGGAGCATATAAGAATTTCTCGGCTAAGATTGTTATTGAGAAGGAGTTGATCGGGGGGTGCGGTCAAATTAATGCTACATTAAACAAGTAGAATTATTTAATTTTTGCCGACGTTTCGACCCACTTTGCAGGTCTTCATCAGTGCTATAAAAGATATAAAACCTCGTGAAAATAAATGTATGAATTTCTTATATGAATGTATGAATTTCTTATATTCATTTATTTTCACCATGTTTTGTATCTTTTGTAGGCCTGATGAAGACCTGCAAAGTGGGTCGAAACGTCGGCAAAAATTAAATAATTCTACTTGTTTAATTTAGTATTAATTTGACCTCACCCCCCGATCAACTCCTTCTCATATTATATCAACGGTCAACCATCTCTACATCATTAAGATTGTTATTGTTAACATATAATAAGAAAACTGATATGTAATAAAGTGTGATTTGAGATATAATTTTGCTTAATATTTTCCGTTTGACGGTTGCAGTTGGGCGGCGGAGAGCCGAGGCCGCTGGAGCGGGCGGAGCGACCACTTGAGATTCAGGAAGAGTTCCTCTCGGCGGTGGGCTACGGGGAGAGCTCCCGCAGGGCCCGGCTAGGCATCGACCCGGACCTCCGCTACCTCATCGCCTTCCTAACAGGTATTTAGCGGCCCTTTGGTCTTTAGTCTTTAGTCTTTAGTCTTTAGTCTCATCTCTTTATTATCTTTACCCACGCTCCGCTTGTTTGCATGGTCCTTCCACCTTCAATATCGGTTCCACTTAATGGAAATGTAATAAGGTTCAGGCTAATCTGCGATTTTCAATATGAATTTTAAAAAATGGTGTTGTACAAGCGCTGAAATAATAAGGGCATATAAAATAATATTCTTATATATTTACAATTAACTATGGAAAGAATCCCCAAACACCACGAACGTTTCTTTAATTACATATTAAAATTTTCAAAATATGGAATGTATTTTTTTTTTTAGATAGATAGATAGAAAATAACTTTATTCTGGGACACAGTCCATTGAGAATAACAAAATTGAACAAAATTAAAAGATTACCTCTGGCCAAAATAAAATCAATCGAAAAAAAAAAATAATGTAAAGAAAATATAAGGTAAACATTCTATATACAAAACAAACGAAACTACACTGACAGGCAAAAAATTCCACCCCCTTCATTTTTCCATGTTTTCTTCTAAAAATCTTTCTGTAAAGTTGTATTTGTATATAATACATGATATTTGTAGATAATACTTATTATTTATGGAATTTTATAATCTTTTTTACCTTTAATAATCAAAATGTGATTGGGTAAGAAAGATTAGAGAAAAAAAATTAAAAAACGAATCATTATTATTCTAAAAGATATTAATTACATCATCGTTTAGTAGCGCGTGTTTCCTCCTTTACCTTCACTACTTCTTGAAGACGCCTCGGCATACTTTTCACCAGGCGGGAAATGTCTCTTTGCTGGAGGATAGCCCATTCCTCCCGAAGAGCCCTTTCAATGTCCTGCACTGTATCAGGAAGTGTTGCACGCGCTCTTATTCGTCTTCCGAGGTTATCCCATAAATGCGCAATGGGGTTCAAATCTGGAGAACGTGCTGGCCAGGCTAAAACCTCAATATTGTTCTGTTGAAGGAACGTCTGTACTATGCGGACGACATAAATGTATTATCGTGCATTAGAATAGAACGATCGCAGATTTCGTTGAGGATAGGCAACACATGAGGTTCCAAAATCTCATCTACATAGCGAATGTCCGTCAAAGACCCTCCACGAACAACAAATTCTGTGAGGCGTTCTATTGAAATCCCAGCCCACACCATTAAGGAACCACGTTGGAAAGGTTGGCTCTGGGAAAAATTACAGGCTGCATATCTTTCGTTTCTTCTTCTCCACACCCTTCATTTAATTAAGGATTAAGGGTTATTGTCCTCTATATTAACATTCCTAATTGAAAACAAACAAAAAGATTACCTATTTATTCATTAAAAACAATAGACCAATCCAAAGCAGAAATATTTTTAGATGAAAACATGAAAAAATCAAGTGGGTGGAATTTGTTGCCTGTCAGTGTATATACAAAACAATTAACACTATGACAAGACACTTAAAGCTATTTGCACTAATGGACTAGTATACACTTTTAAGAAACCAATAAATAATTAAAAAATAAAAATATATCAAATTCTTTATTAAAATCAGCTTTGTGTTTCTGTTGAGAAAACAGAAAGCTGAATCTGACAATATAAAGTGCCTGATTAATATATAAATACATTAACATTTAGCATTGATATTTGATAATGAATGGCATGAAATAAATGTATGTTGTCGAATGGTTAGCAACTATCCGACTGTGTTTGGTATAGAAATTGGAACAGGAGGGTTTTGAATGTGGATATGGATGGGGGATGTCGAATTTTGATAGCGAGGGAATTCCAGAAATTGACAGAGCTAGCAATAAAGGAGTTTTAGAATGAGGCAGATCTGTGAGAAAGCGTGTAAAGGATAGAAGGTCGAGATCTTGTGGACAGGGAATGGACTGAGGATTTGAACTGGCGAAGGTTGTAAGGCGTAAGAAGGACGATGGTTGTAGATGATTTGGTAGAGGAACGTACCTAGGAAATATTGTCTTCGGAAGGAGGGGAAAAGCCACTTTAACTCAGTGGTGAGAGACATGGGAGTATCTTGAGGTTTATTAAGTATTTTAATGGTTTTATTGAGTAATTATACAGTCTGTCACACTGAGGGGTATTGGTACTAGGACTATAGTATTCATTCACACAATATGTACATACGAAAGGAAAATAAATATAAATAAACAAATTAGAATATATATATATATATATATATATATATATATATATATATATATATATATATATATATATATATATATATATAGATATATATATATAGATAGATAGATATATAGATATATACATTTAAAACCTAGTTGGTACAATAATCATAAATGTAACTAATTGTTTTGTTATTCTTATTTATATTTATATTACAATTTTCGATAAACCTAACGTTGTTTGAAAAAGTTATCGAAGTTAAAAAGTTATCTGCTGTTCGAGTCTAGTGTACCTCAGCGCATCATATAGTCATGTGTTGCACGCTGGTCGCCTATTGGTCATATATATATTCAGGGTTTTTAAATATATATATTTCATTTTTGTTAACTTTACTTTTTCACTCAGACCTGCTGGAAGTGCCGAACAGTGCTTGAGAAGTAGAAATTAAATTATGTCGTTTGTAGGCTTGAGGGAGAGGAGTGCCCAGTGGCGTCCTTACCTATTTTGATTTCAAAATTTGTAATTAATAGATGAGACCCCTCATCCAGCTTTTTTTGAGCCTCTTACGGCTTTTAGGGCATGTTGGTTGCGGCAATGCCTTCCATCGACATTTATTCTTTAATTCTTAAAACGTAGTTTTTTTTCTTAGATGAAACATTCTAGAGGTACACTGAAAAACAAAAAAAGATATTCATAAAAATTGAAATTTTAATGAAAAGTCTTGCTTCTTAAAATAACAAAAAAATAATAACCGTCTGATGTGATTCATCTTTCTAATTACTAGCCAGCCATTAATCCCTTTAAGAGCTACTCCAATAATGGCAGAAAACTCTTCTTCCACTTATAATTCTTTTTTTTTTTTTTATTAAACGTGATAATTTAAATATGCTAAATAGTACGTCCTCATCAACGTATAATATTCTAAAAGTGGCCAGAGCTCGGATTGGGAATAATTTCAGCAAACACAATCCAGTAATTAAGAATATAAAATGAAGAAGAAAAAAAAATTAAACTGTATCAGTTTTAAATAATATAAATACATATGTCAAGTATATAGTATTTTTCCTATTTTATCTCATTTCATGTTCACAGTGTTTAGTTTATTTCTTAGTTTTATCAGATGTTCTTTGCTTATGAAAAAGTATTATAAACAATTGCAAATCAAATGAAAATTTGGAAATCGTACTTGAATGACTCATTATATTATTAAATAAAAACGTTTAAAGAGCTTTGTTTCAAGCGAACAGTCGACTTTGCTTAGGTTACAACGAACAACGTGTAGCTGTTAAGATTTTGAACCTAAGTTAATACAATCTGTAGAAACTGCAGAGCTCTGAAAGAAGATGAGCTTAAGATAAATTGATTAGTTTTTATACAAACTTTCTTAAGCAACGTCGTCATTAACGTTTTTGCCCCTCTTTCGTTATAAAAAACATCGTCTTTTGTTTTTATTTTTATTTTAATCCTGTAAATTGTCGATGAATTTTAACTTCAATCTGTTCTACTGCCGTATATTATTAAAGAATTGAAAATACTTTCACGAAACTCTTCGATTGATTCATAACATTAGTTAATCACACATAGAATATAGAATAAACGTAATAGCTGTAAGATATTTTTTGAAAGTTCATAAACAGAGGAAACATTCTTTGTAAGGTCGATGAACGAATTTGTTTTCCATTTCATGAGTAAACAATTTTTTAAAAAACAACGACAATTCCTCTCGGTCCAAAATCTACCCAATAATTAAGACGACTTATATCTCTATATCTATCCCGAACTACAGATTGATCAAATAATGAGTGGGTTTTAGTTCGATCTTTATCTCTTTGGGCGCGCTCGCCGTCGGCAAGGGCTGTTGTAATACAGATTGGAACAATGAATCCAACTCCTGTTTGAATGGCGAAATTCCTTTAATAATACTTAATCAAAGAGTAAAAGGAATACGATTTCCATCGATTATCCCTTATTTCAAATGATACAAATAATTTAATTTTATAATCTTTTTACCATACCATGTGGAGATGGCCACTCTTTGACATATTTAGCAGTTGGAATGTTGAAAGAAAGATGTGGAAATACATTATTAATTTTCTAAAGCATAGAACATTCACCGTTATGGCTGGTTCTTCAGAATCTACAATATACAATATATGGTCGACAGAGAGTGGTTTAGGACTGTCAGCTAGCAAAACCAGAACCATGCACTTTTGAAGGCTGAGACGATCTACACTCAATCCGAAAATACTGATGGATGGTACTGAAATTACATTTGTTGATAATCTCAAATACTTGGAGATGCACTTTTATTTATTTATTCCTCCCTTCCTTGTCTTTCGGCTACACGGAATTTTGCAGGAGTGGCATATCACAAATGTGCATGTCATACCTGCTATTAAACGAAAAATATTTTAACTTTCCTTTTTTTTCAAAAACTCTTATCTTTTCTTCATTTTTTTTTCACCATATCAGTCTGATGACCTTCTATGAGCAGGTTCCTTTTTTCCCAGATTGAAGTGTGACGGCCCCAGAGCAGCTGTAACTGTACACAAAATGTCTGTAATAAGGGTAGTTCTGCTCCGTCACTAACTGGGGGAATTCATCCTCCGTGAGGCCATAGAATCCAATACCTCGGGATGCACTTGGATCGATCGCTTAGATGGACATTGAACATAAAAATACTTAAAGACGAATGTTCCTAATCAAATGTCTTTCCCACACGGACTGGAGGGCGGATAGAAAAAGTCTTAAATATATATTGCACGACCATCACAAGGAAAATGACTATGGCTCTAGTGTTTACGGTACCGCATCAAAGAAAACTTTAACGATATTAGACGTTGTATACAACAATGCTTCAAGAATGCGTACTGAACCATTGTCAGCCTCACCACTAGAAAGTCTATGTGTTGAAGCAGATAGACCTCCTTATCTGAGAAAATTATATCTAAACTAAAGTATATTTTCAAAATTAAGATACTGTGAACATATATTACATAAAATAATATTCCGTAGAGAAGAAGCAGGCCCATCAAGACGGAAGAAAAATTTCGCAGAAAAATTTCTCGTAAATTTTTAAGAATTAAAATTAGAAACTATTTTGCTATTTTGGATATGTTAGGCATAATAATCACCTCCCTCCCCCCTCGACAATGGATCCATACTTCGCCATAGAGAACTCGATGGCTGGCTGTCGAAAAAGATTCACTTCTCTCTATTGAAGCCCAAACATATTCCTTGAATAATGGAAAACACAAAAACTACCATGTGAGATATACAGATGCTTCAAAAGTAAACAATGAAGTAGGATGCGCTATTGTAAATTTTCGAATTCAAAAGTTCTTTAAACTTCTGGATATCTGTTAGTGGAGAAATGGTTACAATAAAAGAAGCCCTAATGAGTATTGAGACAACTGAGAGTGGGGTCCGTGGTGACAAACTCAATGAGTGCAATTCTAGCAATTGAAAACAAAAGACCGACAACTAGCGGGAGCTATAAGAAATATTTGGTGAAAATTAAACAATGTTCTTCGGGTCCCTTCGCACTGATGATCACCGAAACTGAACAGGCAGATCAGGAAAATCACCGAAAATAATCAACAGAAAAGCAGTCAATATGGCGAGAATGCGAGAAAGAAATTCGGTTGTTATAATTAACAAAATCCCCGTAGAAGATTTTCTGCCACATATAAAGAAGGAAGTGTGGAAAATGTGGCAGAACAGATGGAGACAAAAAGTACCTAAATAAAAAACCACTGTTCCAAATGGAAAACTTCTAACCAACTCTCTAGAAAAGAAGAGACTGTCCTCTGGCAATTAAGGATTGGGCATTGCGAATTATCACATGCCTATCTACTAAGAGGAATGGACCCACCAACATGTGAGAGATCTAAGGTGAAAAGGTGAACAGCCCAATACATCATCCAAGATTATACTTAAAAATATAAGAAAAAAATTGGATATGGCTCAAAGCCTAGAAGAGAACTTGAACGACATTAAAAAAGAGTAACAAAAATCTTGGAATTTTTAAAACTATAAAATTGAGAATTAAAAGGTGCTGTCAATGGTCCTGCATTGTAGGATAAATAAATACAATTAGTAACTTTTAAATATTAATTAGTTGGTTATTGATAAATACTTTCTCTGACAACTATTTAGAGGCGGACATTAGAGACAACTATTTAGTTTCGGTGAAAGGACTTTTTTTTTTTATACATAACTCAATTAAGTGCCAGTAAAGTAGGAAAAAATCCAGGAAATATTAAAACAAAAAAAATTGGTCTAAAAATGATTATCCAACTCACTTTCTGCACAAAATTAAATATTTGGCTGCTATATAATGTCGAGAAATTAATTTTTTTTAATTTATAAGTTGATTTTCGATTCCTGATTAGTTCCTCTTAAAAAGTTTCACACTTTTCGAGTTTTTTCTGACTTTCTTCCTTACTCTTCCATCGTTTTTCTTGATTACATTTGTTGGAGAAATGCTATTTTTGTAAAATCGTATAAAACAAATTTATATGACTTCTTTCTTTATGTTCTAGTAGTACGCCACATAATTTATTGAGCATGCGATTAAGGACCTTGAAACTCATATTAGTTAAAATATTTATTTTTTTCTTAAACGAACATAATAATAAATATATTTTACTTTTCTTTCTCTCTCTCTCTCTCTGATGTCAATTATCCACAATAATAATAACTAGAGGGGTCAGTGATATCAATGTTACCATATATTTAAAGGACTTAAATAGTTGAAGTTTCATTAATCATTATCATTAAACCCGCAGTTTTCACTACAGAAAATGTTAGATTCCTGTAAGCTCAGAGGCATAAAAACAAATTCTTAATTAATTTATATTTAATATTTCAATTAGGAATTTTCCTACATATATCAGTGTGGTTTGTCCTACAGTTGAATCCGTTGTGTGGCAGTCTTCTATTGCAATATATTATTTCGTATGCCACTAAAAATTGTTATTATCGTCTTAAATAAACCAATGCATACTAACATGAAATAAATATTCTTAAGACAAAATCGCAATTGAACCTGAACTATTTATTTATTTGCGTGCCTACCAGACAATAGAAGCATTAAGTTAAGATGCCTTGAATCACTGCTGTAAAATTTTACTGATTCATTAAGATATGACACCAAGACAGTTTCTTGAATAAGATCTTCTAAGAATCTTCTAGAATCTAAGAATCTAGGTCTTGGAATCCGATTTATTGTCTAATTATCTTTTTTCAAATCATGTTTAAAAAAAAGAAAAGAAATCAGGTTAAATAAATTTCTGTTTTCGTTAATTTTAGTGTCATATTCAGCACCCTTAAATAGGGCCGGGGTAGCCGTACGGGTTAAGGCGCTTGCAATAGGTAATCAAAGTTTAAGCAACGTCGAGCGTGGTTAGTACTTGGTGGATGGGTGACCGTCCACACCACGGAAAGACATGCTGCCCGAGATTCCTCCTCTCCCCCTCGGGTATGTGGGACCCGTCAGCCTACTGGAGGCAACTCACACCGCAGGGAGGTGAGTGATTCTGTGGCACTGGTCCTCTAGATTGGGGGTTGAGCATAGGGCTAATGACCCTATCCCTTCAAAAACACTATATTAGGAAAATATGAGGCTGAGCTTCATTCCGCAAACTAGAAAGCAGTAGCCCAAGATAGGCAGGTGGAGGGGGCTGGTTCAGGCGGCCAAAGATCTACAAGGTCTGTAGAGCCAACCGACAAAAAAATTCAGCACCTTTAAATTATTTCTGTTACAAATTTATGGATATCCAACCTCATTCTCTCTGCTTCTCGTTGATGCTACCTGACAGCATTGCTGTTAATGTTGATCTGATCATTGAATCACTGTTCAGATAATGTTCCATATTGTTCTTGAAACTATTTTTTAAATTTTATTTTTCTGTTACTAAGTTACGTGTTTCAGGTCCGAAGTGGTACCGCCGAAGCGGCGAGGTCTGGCTGCTCAAAGGCCTCGTTCTCCCCCAATGGCGGCGGAGGGAGGTGTCACTTAGGCAAGGCAACATCCTCATACACTCCAGTAGGAATAATTATTTCATCTATCATTTTATTAAATTAGTTTTATTAATTAGGTTTAAGTTAATATAGGAGTGATTGTCCAATGTCTGTTACCAAAAGGAAATAGTAAATAAATAGTTCATTCTACAGTAAAGATGATTTTAAAAAAATAATAAACAATCAAAACAACGGATTTGATTAAAAACTGATGAAAAATTAACGCATCACCTCGAAATTTTTATGTTTAAGCTATTTACAATACTTTAATTTAATCAGAATAACAGCAAATAAACCAGAATTAGTAAAAAAAAAATTATATTGACAATATCAACTAATAATTACTTAATTTTTACAATTTAAAAATATTATTAGGTTGTCTGGAAAATAATGAAGGTTTTTGAGTTTTCTTTAAAACACCCCACTATATAAAAAACTGTTTACCTTTACTGGATTGTTAACTTGTATGAATGTCAACACTCATTAATCCTCTGCCAAACGATAATGTTTGTTTACCTCTGTAGCATTTCTCTACTTGGAAATATTTCAGTCTTTACTAAGATGTCAACGCGTATAATTTTGTTTTTGGAATGGAGCCCACACGGTCATAAACATCAATCGAGTCTGGGGCTAGAACAGTATTAATGAGTGCACTGTTCAACGGTCAAAAAATTTCGGGAGGGAGGCTTCAGCCTTGATTACAAAGAAGGTCTTGGAATGACTTCCTTTCTTGATGACGATGTTCTGCAGGCTTTGGTGGAAGAAAACCCCAGAACAACTGTTCGAGAACTTGCAAGGAGACTTAACCTTAGCAAATCAACTGTCGATGACCACCTCAAGCCGATTGGAAATGTTAAAAAGCTTGAAAGTTATGTTCCGCACACATTAAACGAACACCAAAAAAAAAGTTATGAAGTTTCTGCTCCTTTGCCGAGACAAAAGCGACCCTTTTCTGTCCAAAATTGTTACTTGCGATGAAAAGTGGATACTTTACGATAACAGTAGACGTTTTGGATAGTCGCTCGACAAAGGCGAAGTAGCAGAACATTTTCCAAAGTCCCCAACTCATCAAAAAATGGTGATGGTTACTGTTTGGTGGGCTTCTTTTGGTTTGATACACTACAGTTTCTTAAATGAAGTAGGAACCATCAATTCCGAATTATATGGTAACCTAATTAATGCAATTCATCAGAAATTGACAATAATGAAGCCATCTTTGGTCAATCAGAAGGTGCCCATTTTGTTGCATGACAATGCCCGGCCACATTTCTTACCTGTGACGTCACAAAAACTGTTGGAGCTTGGATATGAAACTCTGCCATATCCGCCCTACTCTCCGGATTATCATTTTTGTGGATACCTGGACCATTATTTACGGGACTAAATTTTAAGGGACAAAGAGAATTAGAAAGTGCGTTTTTGGAGTTTGTCAATTCTAAAGATGGAAAATTCTATTCCTAGTGAAGTGAAAAGTTGCCAACACGTTGGCGAAAACGTATTGATAGTAGTGGAGACCATTTTGATTAAATAGTACTGTTGTAAATTTTTCTTTTAAAATCAAAATCCGGCATTATTTTCCAAACAATCAACAATCAACAAATGCTAGAATTTCTATTCAATCAACTTCATAGTTGGTGTCAGCCTTTGGCATGGATTAGGACAATCAATCCCTTTTCTATGCTCGCAAAGAAGTTATTGACCGATTCCTGTGATCCATAGGTCGAATATTCAATCACAGTTGTTTTCAACTTTCAATTGTACTATGGTAGATTTCTGGTCCCTTACACGAAGCTTGAAACAAATGTTCAATCAGATTAAGGTTTTAACATTTTACAGTGGCCACTTTAGAAATATGAATACAAGCTCCCTCAGGCAACAGAGGATTCAGGATTTCATTTTGGAGAGACTTACTCTTTTTTTTTATTTCTGCGATTATTTTTTAAGAAAATAAGAAAGAAAAAATAGACCATATAGTTCTATAATATCTTACCTATAATGAATAAATTCAAGTCGGTTCAACGTGAGCGCTTGTGGAGAGTGAACCACGCACAGCGTTTCGGGGTCTCAAGAACTAGTTATTCATATTCGTATTGAACACTCTGATTGCTATAATATTCTGATAACATGTACATAGTAAGTTTTTTTATAAATAAAGTGATGCGTTAATTTTATTCAGCAGTTTATTTACTTCTGTATCTAGTTGTTGACAAGGTCCAACCATGTTAACCATTTATCTTTGCTCATAATATTTTGATCATACTTGACCAAATAATGTTCGCAGGCGAGGCAGGGGGCCGACAGGAAGGCGGGAAGGTGTGCGGACACGAGGAGGGGGCGGGTCTGCGGGGCGGTCGCCACGTGCTGAAGGTGATCTCCCCGGTCCGCTCCGTCTACCTCGGCATGGAGGAGCTCTGGCAGCGCAGCCTCTGGGCGTCCTGGCTGGCCGAGGAGGTGAGGCCCCATCCATTATCAACCGTCAGTCGGAATAGTCCAGTTGTATGAAATAATCCAGTTGTATGGAATAGTCCAGTTGTATGGAATAGTCCAGTTGTATGAAATAGTCCAGTTGTATGGAATAATCCAGTTGGATGGAATAGTCCAGTTGTATGGAATAGTCCAGTTGTATGGAATACTCTAGTTGTATGGAATAGTCCAGTTGTATCGAATAGTCCATTCCTAGTGAACCTTCAAAAGGGTGCGATTTACTACAAGAACTGACTGACTTGTTGTAACCCAGAGGAAAGAGTCTTGCGTTGCCGCACAGTGGGGCGAGCGTACAGGTTCCTTCGACATCGGCTCTAACTTACTCGGTTATTGTAATGTACTGCTCAAATTTTGTCCATTTATTTTTTACTTTGTCAAAACTGAGTATATAATAAATAAAATAAAAAAATTAAAATAATGGTAGTCACTCCAAGTTCAACCTTAACGCGTGTTAAATCCTCATAACTCCTCAGAAGGCAGATTGGAGCAAGATTTAAAAAACTATTTTTACAATTTCAGAGTGTTATAATTACACGATCTATTGTTTTTCGGGCGATTTTGGAAATGGAAATAAACCAGGACGATATAACTGACATTGGGAAAACTCTTAAATAGCCGGACAATTTAATTTTTCACTGGACAAATTAATACGACATTCATAATGAATATCTAATGGAGGACTCAATAAGGTAATATTCAATTGTTTTTAATGAGTAAAGTTACATACATGAATGGTTTTCATAAGAAAAAGTATACAAATCTAAGACATAGATCGTTAGATAAATTAAATCTGTGTAATAGAAATTTTTTTTTGTAAATGTTAAATGTTCACTAATAATGACATTACAATTTTCCAGACTTAAAAATGGCCCTAGTGATGCTCGAAACGTCGTTATAAATAGCTAATAAATAAAATGTTGGAGAATAATGGCCTAATTTATATAACAAATGAAATGTAAATATTTTTTTTTGCAATTGTTTGAAGCTTCGTAGTAATTCTATTTTTAAAACCGATGTTTCAATTGACTTAGAACTCACTAGAAGTACCTAATTCTGCTCAGCCCAAACCATTAAGGCTCGGTCACACAGAACGCGATATTTATCGCGGCGATATAGCGCCACAGTTGTATTACTATCTATTCCACTATAACAGTCACATAGAGAGCGTTACGCCACAGCGATACATGCTGTAGCGCCGGGGCCGGCGATAAATTGATACAAATTACAAAAATATCGCCCTCCTTCGGCGTTATTCTCTACCTAATGTAGGCAGAAAAGTTAGCTAATACCCAAGTTAATAGGATTATTGCAGGATTATAACGGCGTGTTCACACAGAAGGCGTTATTTAGCGCGGCGCTACAGCGCTACAGTTGTATTACTATCTTTTCCACTATAGCAGTCACATAGAGGGCGTTACACCTCAGCGATACATTCTGTAGCGCCGGGGCCGGCGTTACGTTTGAAAAATATTACAAGTGTATCGCCGGGGCCGGCGTTATGTTTGAAAAATATTGTAGATACAAATTACAGTTGAAATTATTTAGTGGTAGTATTCATATAGATATGTAAAACACCGAATTATTTATATAAAAAGTGAGGAATTGTCCATTTTTATTTGATATGACACCTCAAGCAAATATTAAAAAAAATTATTAAAAAGGAGGTTACATGGAAAAAAATTGTGGAAGAGCTAAATATCACAAGTAATGTATTAATTGATATTATTATTATAATTATTGAACATTATAATAATTATATGTTATATTCTTTTTTATCTTGAAATCATTTAAAAATTATACTTACGTTCTTTTACTAATTTTAATTTTGCCTATACTAAAGACATAAATGATAAAAAAAAAAATCTGTGTATGTTGCATATTTAAAACGGTTGAGGAACAGATAATAACTATCCAAGATCTATATGGCAATAAAAGAAATTCGTTACTACGAAATTAATATTAAATAGATATGCCATTTGAAGTAAATAATAATTTGAAATAAATCTGAAGTTTTACATAAGAAAAAGTAGAACGAAAGTTCATTATTAAAATCTCTTCTGGAATATACTAAAAAATTATATATATATATATATATATATATATATATATATATATATATATATATATATATATTTAATTTTTTGAATATTTCAAAGCAAGAAATACAGGAATAACCAAATAACATATCTTTTTAGAATTTTATGTTCATTAGCACAATTTTTAAGAATTGGAATGTAATACAATTTTGTTAAAGAGAAACAAGCTTCATCGCTAGAAACCGACAGTAAATATTCGAAAAACGTGTAGCAAAAACTCAAACACTAGCAAAAAATTGTTGGAAAACCTAATAAATATAAAGCAAACAATTTCTTAATAAAAACAAATTAAATTGAAACATAGTTTATTTATCTATAAAGTTATGGCCTTATTGTTAATTTAATTTGTTTATTATATTATTAAAAAATAGATGGTTTTTCGATTGTAGATTGTCAAGTCCTCATTTATTTAGTGCTGAATGGAGTGATTCGTAATTTTTGACTAGTGGTTCACGTCAATAGTCATCTCAACAAAAATAATCAAACCAATTGTCCTCTCATATTTATTACCAGAAAAATTAAATTTTGAAATGTTACCAAAACAGTTGTTAATTAATTGGCTTAACCTCAAAACTATAAGAAAATATATTGGTATTTTGACTTTCGCTTACCTATGTATGTAATATATAACAAAGGGATAGTATTCCTATCGCTAAAATTTTCGAATCTGAGTTTACAACGGAAATACACGTTATGAGGTCCCCTAAGCCCAAATAACCAAGTCCTGCTAAAGGGTATGTGTCTGTGTGCAATTGAACAGCCTAGCTCAAAAACGAAAACTCACACGAAACTTAAATAGCGTATTTAAGGTTTTTATATATAAAATCAGCTAATCGGAAGTATCTCACACATATTTACAGTTTTCCCAAAAACTGCTCTAACGATTATGATTAAACTCGGTGTATCATTGCATAATTAAGTGGTCTTTAATATCATTTAGGTCTTTTTCCCATTAATCTCACTTTACAAAGTTTAAATGTACAATGTTTATATACATCTTTCCCTAAAGCACCTTTAATATGGATTATTTGAAAAAATCAACTCCCTTATATTGACAGTAACTATAAAAAATGGCTAAATATGAAGTTTAAAAGAATATGATAACTGGAAACTGAAGAAAAAAAGAAAAATGCTTATCCTGGTTAAAAATGAATCTCCGGAAATAACAGTCAGAAGGTATACCTATAATATATCGTTAGAAAGCGAAGAATTTCAGAAAAATAAAATTAAATAAATAAATGTAATAAATAAATAGAAGGCAACGCAGAGTGACAAAAAAAATAGAAATAATAATTTCAGAAAACTAACATTACTTAACGTAAATCACATGTTTCCAATGAAATTAAGCGAAATTCCCTTACTAAATGTAAACTTTTAAAGTACTTTTCTAAGTTTGAAAAAAAGTATTTAAAATCCACCGAATCATGCTAATGTCATTGTTTAAAATACTATTTAATTGTACTTGTGTGAAAGAAGTGAAATATAAAAATATTTCATGTATATATTTATAACCATAAATACTTTTGATGTGGTTCTATAACTCTAGATATAATATTATATTTAAATTATTGGGTATTTATTGGCCCTTTCTTAAAATCGTCAAGTAACCTTTTAGGAAATTAAATGAGTGAATAATTTTATGAATTTTCCCTTTGTGAAGCACCAACATTGTCGACTTCCAATTAGTGTGAAAATTTTCAACCTATCCATGGCAGGCAACGAAAATCTCGTAATTTCATTTTAGTAAATTTTATAATGGAAAATAACAGTTTAATAACTTATAGTCCTACCTATTAACCCATAATCATTTATATGTTAAATATTTAGATGTACTTTCAAATCTCTCTAGGCATATATGAACCTTTTGGTTGTCAGAAAAACTAACTTCAATTTCAACATTCTTCATTATTAATTTTAGTGATGTTTCTATTGGCGAACTTTATGCCTTTATTCGCAGTTCTATATTTCAACGTTGAAATCACCTACTCTGGAATCCACTTGCTCACTGTCTGTATAGATACAACTTTTCCAACTAGAAATATCTCTTATATACATTTATTTTATTTTATTGTATTTATTTTTATTTTATTTTATTGTATTTATTATTATTAAGTTTCTGTATTTTTTTTTTTTTATTGTAAATAGAGTGTGTGTGTGCTTTCTCTGAACACTATTATAAATGTCCTTGATGTGACAGAATGTAATATTTCTAAAAAAAAAAAAAAAAAAAAAAAAAAAACAATATCTCTAAAATGACATTACTCAAAAATCTTGAAATTATAGTTATTCATTATGTCAACTGAAAGGCCTCAGAGACTGAAGTTATGTGGTTTATAAAACTAGATTTTCATTGGCTACCGTCGATATAATAAATAGACTTTTTGTAATTTTACTGGTCTTAAAGATTTGTTATCTCTAAGCCTTAAACTTTAGCTCCGTTTAAAATGCACTTCTAATTTTTTTAAATAACCCAACATTGCCACAAAATTATTTATATTAAAAGTAGTGGGGTAAGTGAAAGTTATTTGTTATCCGCACCAGATTTTTTTTGTTACTTGTTTAAAGCTGTTATAGATTTGAGAAATACACATGATTTAATAAATTATTTTGATTTTACTGACCTAAATGAAGTTGGTTGGTGGTTTGTCTCTCTGGATAAAGAACATCCAGGTTATCAATCAATGCCCGTTCAATTAAATAACACTACTTTTAAACTAATCAGGTTGTAGTTTCAAAATAAAAAAACGTCTGCCAAGTAAGGTCAGTATAGCTTCCTCACCGTTGTCATTGTATATTACAATGTATACCATTTTTTGTATGAGAATAAAATCTCTGGGAGAAGCCGATTCGGAAATATAGTTACCCTTCAAC